GCCTCCCACCCCGTGACAGGCCCCAGTGTGTGATGTTCCCCTCCCTGTATCCATGTGTTCTCATTATTTAACTCCTGATTATGAGTGAGAACATGTGGTGTTTGGTTTTCTGTTCTTGTGTTAGTTTGCTGAGAATAATGGTTCTCAGCTTCATCCATGTCCCTGCAAAGGACATAAAATCATCCTTTTTATGGCTGCATAGGATTCTATGGTATAAATCTGCCACATTTTCAAAACCACCTATGCAACAAACTTGCACGTTCTGCACATGTACCCCAGAGCTTAAAATAAAATAAATTAAAATAAAATAAAGAATTATATATAGGTGGAACTGAAAGATACCTAAAAGACCACACAGATGAAATAACTTATTTTTATGTATGAAAAAGAAAATCAAAGATTAAAATAATTTTCATCATTCCATCAAATTATTGGCTTTAAAAATGTTATTTGAACATGAATTTATTTAGTAAATATTTGGCTTTAAATTTACTTTAGAGTTTAAATACTAGGTTCTTACAAATTTTGTGTTTTCTTGTCATGAAGACAGGGCATTTTCCTGTCTAAAATTAGATTATTTTCTAAGAATGTCAGTGATTTGCTTAAGGTCATAAAATATTTTCCTGAGGTGGTTGAAAATACAGCTTATTTATTTGATTCTAAATTCAACATTTTTTACACTATAAGATTGTTTGTTTTATAATTGTGTTTTTGATTCCAAAATTAATTTGGAAATGCATCAATATACAGTGTAACTAGCTATTTTCTCTCTCTGCATAGATCGCAGACCACATGTACATATTAAATCGAGCTTTGGAAATTGGTGAAACATCTTTCTTTAGATTATTTTTTAAATAAAAATAAGCTTTCAGTGGACTCAGAGTCACTAGCCTTGGTGCTTATATATTTAAATTTCGATGATCTCTCAAGTATTCTTATAATTTAACCTTTATTTAATGGAAAATATCAGATAAGGATTCTTTGAGAAAATGTTAAACTAGCACATTTTAGTGATTTCATTTTCTTTTCTCCTTTGGCAACAGTTCTGACTTCAATCATAAATCAAATAACACAGTTTAGAGTATTATGAAGTCTGTAAAACTATCCTTAAGGGAGTCATGAGTCCAGATTACAAACACTCATTTTTCAAACTACTGAGTGAATTGGTTTATTTAAAATATTACATTGTTCTATAGATTGCTCAATAACCTATGACGTGAATAACTGTTCAGTAAAAAATCAGGAGGAAGTTGAACTGAGTCACTTTGATGTGTGTGTGAAGAGTGTGGAAAAGAGTGATGTATTTAGTGTATCTGACATTTTCTACTTTCCTGAAAACAATAACATAATCAGCTATTTTAGGCATAAGAAACATTTTCTTATTTATTACGTTTTTAATTATTATTCATGTGAAGAAATACTCTTAGTCTTAAAAATCATATTAAGTATGATAAATATTTAGGAAGTAATATAAGTTTTAGAAAATGATAATATTTTAAATTTGTATAGAAATTGTTGTAGTAGTCATCAATTTTTCACTTCTTCATTGAACTGTATATATTACCAGGAGAATTTCATTTACATATGCAAATATATTTTCATCTTTCTCACAAACATTAGTATTAAATTTTGATTTTTCAAGTTAATGATTATATTATGTGCCTGACAAAAAAGTTAGAGTTCTCTAGTTATTCCATGGAAAAGTACAAAATAATTCATAGAAACTGTGCAGAATGAAAAATACTCACCTTCACTTTAAAATTTATTCTCTTGTTTAAATTTACTAAACTTTAACCAAGAAATCTTTATCCCCAAGAATGTGTTTTTAGCACCTTGATTTATTCAGAAGTCTAATGATAGAGAAAAGTGAACCAAAAATGTGAATGATTCCCTCTCTTTTTCATCCCCATTTTTCACTTTTTGCATACCCATCATAATTATTTCACATTATTTTCTCCCTTTTACTCTCCTTTTATACAAGGTCATTAGCCACAAAATATGAATATTTATTGGGGGTTTTCTAAGACAGACATCTTACAATGCCTTTTCATGCATTATCTCTTTTATGTCTTCAGAAAAATTTGGTAGGCAAAGTAATAATGTAATAATAGATTGACAATTTTTTAGAGAGGGAAATAGAAATAGTGTTAGAGAGCTTAGATTACATAACCAAGAAGGCAAACTGGTAAGTGGAAGAACTGTTATTTAAACTCAAGTCTATCTGATGCTAAAACCTTGCATTTTACCATTCTATTATTGTGACACTGAGTTCAGGAGAAGGTCCTACTATAAAGGCACTGTTATCTGTCCAGCACTATATTATTCCCACTAGATTATGATACTATGTTTAAAACACAAGAGAGTTGCAACTAGAAGAAGAAATGACATAAGGAAAGTATATTTATAAATGGACCTCCTATTAAAACATGGAAACACACACACACAAGCACACACACATTCAGTATCCAAGGAATAGAGTAACAAATGTTTATTGCTAATGTTATTGATATTGTGGATAATTTTACAAGGATCTATTAATGGTATTACTGTATATGTGAAAGTTTACGGTTGACAGATGTTTTCTTTATATATTAATGTCATATGAATTTTCACATTTCTGTCAAATAGAAGATGGTTATCATTATCCTCACTTTTTTATAAGGGCTGTGCAGTATTATTGTAGGGACAGAGTTAGGAATCATTCAAAATAGAACTCAAATTTGTGTATATTATACACATAAACTTAATGTACTTTTTATTATGTCCTGTTGGAAGAATGAGAGAAAGGAATGCAAATTCCAAACATGTAAAGAACAACTTATGTGTTTTGGGTTTGGATTTCCTAAAATTAACCCTCAAATTCTTCTCATTTCTTTTTACTGTGGTTAAAGTGAGGTTAGTAAAGAAATGTTACTTATTTTATGGAATTATTGAAAAAATGACTTGAGATTCTTATGTATTTTTATGTACAAGTTATAATAGTTTCTTTTTGGGGAATTCAAAATAATGCTGAATAGGCTATTAAATATTGCTTAACTAATGTATACATAGGTTTCAGTTCATCTCATAGATACATACTTTACGTGATGCCTGATACACATGGCTAAGGAAAAGCATTCACAAAATCAGTGTTTCATCTCCTACCTGGAAAAGAAGTGAATCCCTATGCTCCTCTTTAAAATTTTTTATTAATTTATGGTTTTGTGATTTGAATTATAAGTGGTATTAGATGAACATAGTATCTTTAATATTTGGTTTGGCAAGATTATTATTTCCACATATTTGTAGGAAATCAAACTATCACTCATAGGGACTTATGACTAGAAAGAGGAACAAAAAGATCCCTTCAAATAAATTTAAGATTATGATTAAATTCTGCAAGCAAGTCTCTAAATATGACTGAAATAGTATATTTTCATTGTTGCTACAAAGTATAACTATACTACTAAATACATATTGATATTCTTGTTGGTGGTAGACATTACTTAAGAACTTATGTGTTTTACTTCCGCAGAAGTGAATTTTCTGTATATTATCAAGTAGGTGAGAGTAGAGTTAAAACTTTATTAAAATGTTCATTATTGTTAAACCATGGTACTAAAAACTTTTAATGCTTAGAAATTAAGTTCTGGTAGATAAAATATGGTTTCCAAAAATCATTTAATCTCAATTATTTTATAATGAAGAGATGAAGATTTTTTGGATCTCTCTCTGATATAGCACTGTTTTGAAACAGATGTGGATTAGTATTTGAATTTTTGGATGAAATTAAGTGTGAGAGAATTTCATAGCTTGCAACTGGGAATTGTATATAAAGCATTGACTGAGCCTGTATAATTTATATTCACTTTTAAAGGATTTTATTGGATCTACTTCCTGACGTTACTTAAATTGGTAATTTAAATTCTATTACTTTAAAAGCCAGCAACACATGCATGTTGTAACTGAAGTTCAAGCTTCCATCTGTAGAAAGGAAACACAGTTAACAGATTCATGAATGCTGCTCTTAGGTACAATAGTATTCAGGAAATTGTTCATTTGCACGTGCATGTTTTTAGAAAGTCTTTCTTCTTTGATCAGTGTTGCATTTCATATGACTTCCTAATATGAAAAGCAACAATTTTGAAACAGTAAGCATTTGCTTATTAAAGACTTAAAATCAAAGGAGAGCATCTTACTTTAAAAATCAGATTGGGTCATAAAAGTTTAAGTCGTAATAGGCTTTGTGAGTTTGTTCATTGTTTTTCCCTCCTATGGAGAACAACCTGTTTTAAATTTGAGTTGTGATTCCACAGTACATTTGTGAAACATTAATATTTACAACATATTTTCTCTCAGAATACTTAAAACATTTCCTGAAATATGTTTTAATTTTAGTCAGAAAAGCATTTTATACGGTGAATAATAAATGCATGATTTAAAAAGTGAGTTTTGTTTTCTTCTGGGGCATACGAGAGAATTTTTTAAATTCACATATTATAATGTTCATGCCAGTGTTGTCTTTAGAAAGAGCAATAATTTAAAATCCTTTAAAAACATTATTAATTCCAAATCTAAGATAATTATCTTAATTATTTAAATTGAGTGTGAAATACTTGTAATAGATTTCGAAAAGTCCATTACATGGATTTCATTTGAATAAAGTTATAAAATGTCTGTTTTTGTATGTTTCAAACAACTGTGTGCTAGTAATATCATAAATAACTATTTATGATAAGTAAACTTTTATGCATAAAAATTAAATACTTTCATTAAGAAATTGTACCAGAGGATACAGATATTTATTTTGCCTGATTTATATGTAAGTTCAAGGAAACATAGATTTTAATATTCTCAGTACTGGAAAACCAGAATCCAAGGGGTGATTTTGCTCTTTCTGTGAAAACTCTCATGAGTAGAAATATAACTATGCCAATATATTGGCAAATAAAATATTATTTCAACTTCAGGCCACATTTATTTCTAAAGTATCTAATTATCGATATCCATTTCCTTTTAAGTCTCAAATATCTATCAGTGTAGAAGAGTGGGAAGACACCAAAGACTCCAGAGAACAAGGGCACCACCGCGGCAATCACCGCAACTCCACATCCAGTGATCAGTCGGACCATCCCTTGCTGCGGAGAAAAAGCATGCAGTGGGCCCGAAGACTGAGCAGAAAAGGCCCAAAACACTCTGGTAAAACAGCTGAAAAAATAACCCAGCAGCGACTGAACCTCTACAGGAGGTCAGAAAGACAAGAGCTTGCTGAACTTGTGAAAAATAGAATGAAACACTTGGGTCTTTCTACAGTGGGATATGGTATGCTCTTTAAAACTACTGTATATATGGACTCATGATTTCTTGCCATTAGTAGTGATATAGTGGGTTCTAATTTAGTAAAGAATTGCATTTTTGCTTCACAGGTCAATTAGTAGAAACTCGTGATACATCTAATCTCCTACAGAAAATTTAAATGATGATGATAAGATAAAATGCTAAAAATTTTCAGCGTTTGCTGAATCTGCTAGATACTGTGCTAAACCCATTACACAAATTATCTTAATTTTAATTATCACAAAAACTCTGGGCCAGACCCTGTGTTTTCATGTTAGAAGTAAAAAACCTAAGTTAGGTAGCCTTGTAATTATCATCTTATTCTAGTGCCTGAGATAAAATGAATTTGAGGCATTGACAAGTAACTGGTTCTACTGACCATAGGTAAACCAAAATGTTCTTACAAAATTTGTTTCCTTTATGTGGTTTAGAAACAAAGTCTTCAAAAGCTTTAATTTTGAAGCTCAAATAGTGCTTTATCTCATATAGTGCAAATCTGTCTGAATAATTGTTCAGTTCCCATATTAATCCATAACTGCCATATAGACACTATAGACACAGCTTAAATAAATAATGCAAAGCTTAAATAAATAATGCAAAGATACATTTAAAAATGTATCATTTATCAGTGTATGAATTTTACTTTTTAAAAAGATATTTAGTCCATTCAAAGGAAAACCAAATTATAAACAAGGTGTTTTATTTTATGTATATAAATATGTAACATGGGTAAACCAGGAACTCAGATAGTGTTAGTATCATGCAAGTTAAGAATCCAATAGAAGGTATTCCATATTTACCCTTTTCTCTTGTTTATTATTGAAATCTCAACATGAGGCAATGTTCTTAGGAAGAAATTTTAGTCATTGACTTAGAGTTTAAAAGACGTTGCCTCTGCTTCTTTGAATAAGGAAAAAACCCACATATTAATTTAGCACTACTCTATGCATAGCATGCTATGCGTGCTACTCCAGAAACTATGCTAGGTGCTTTATGTGAGTTTTCTCGTTACTCTTTATAACCCTGATTTGATAGTTATCTCATTTTACCCTTCAGAATTTTGACTCTTAGAAGTTAAAGACTTTGCTCAAAGACATACAGTTAAAATGTGTTGTAGTCAGAACTCCATATATAGTTGAAGTTCATAATTATATGATACTTACTTAACCGTAGCCCAGATTCATCTGTGACAAGTAATTTTAATATAACCACATTTAATGTCTTACATTAAGAAGCAAATTAAAAGAAAAAGTAAGATCGTCATTGTAGAAATCCACTAATAGCTATCTACCAATTAACTGACATGGAATGTGATTATATTCTTAAAGGATTATAGTCCCATATATGTGTACTTTTATTAGTTATTATTCAGCTATTTTTGCTTTTAATAATAAGTCCCAGTGGATGGTTACTTATCTAAGTTCCAGCTGTTTTTCCTGAACATTGTAACCCCAGGGTGGTCCTGGAAGCGGTGTGGCAGGTAAGTTGGACTCTCAGAAACTCAAAAGTGCGTAAGCTGACTGCATGAGAGAAACATTAGAAAATGTATTGTTTTTGCTAATGAAACGTCTATCACGTATCTTGCATTTAGATATTCTCTCTGGTTTATTTTTATTATAATTTTTTAATTTAATTTTCACACTTACAGAAAAAAAGAACAGATTCTGTTCACCTTGTTTTTATTTTTCATTTCTTTCTTCCTCTCTCTCTTCATTCTCTCAATCTATTTGTCCATAGATCCATCAGTCCATTCCAAAACCTTGTATTGGCTATCTCTAATAGCATAGTAATTATGAAAACAGATTTGGAATCTAATACATCATGGGCTTCTGGTATTTTCCATTTATTTCTAACTCACATTAATTCATCCACTCAGCCCTTACTATTGGACTGCCCTCTCTGTGCCAGGGCACTGGGAATAGAAAAACGACCTCCTCAGACAAGACCTCTGTATTTATAAACTCATATTCTAGTGTCAGCCAATAGATTTGTTAAATTATTTAACCTCTCAGCTTATTTTCTTATCTGTGAAATGAAAATAATAGTGATACCTATATCATAGATTTGTTGTGAGAGACAAATTAGATAATGAATAATAAAGTTCTTAGCCCAGAACTATCATTTGACTAGTGCCATAGTTATACTGCATGTCTGTTTGAGTATTGTACGTATGTGTGTACTTCATACATAAAAAAGTAAGATTTTTTTGCACATTTACAAAAAGAATAAAACAATACATTTTGCCTCTTTAGGGATAGATAATGGATATTGTCTCCGTTGAGGATGAATCATTTAAAGCAATTATTGTTTTGCCTGTTGATTGATTTAATGACAAGTCATAGTCTGATTTTTTTTTTCAGTAGATTTGGGTGCTCTGAAAGAATTAAACAGAGTATATTATTTACTTACTGGATAAAGGATGTAAAGGAGAGGGAAAAAGAAGAGTCAGAAGATGACTCTTGAGGGGTCTAGTACGAGCAACTGAATCTATGATGGTGGCATTCACTGAGCTTAGAAGAACACATATGGGTGAAGATAATTTATCTCTTGTGAGTGCCTGGAAGACTTCTAATGGGTGATGCGCTGTACGAAGTTGAATTTCTTTTGTCTAATGCTCAAGAAAAAAAAGTGAGTTGTGTACATAGACTTGAGTCATTAGCTTAAATAAATTTTAATTAAAGCCACTGGAGTAGATGAAATAACCCTCAGGTGAAGAATTAGTGGGTGAATCACAAGGTCAGGAGTACGAGACCACCCTGGCCAACATGGTGAAACCCTATCTCTACAAAAAGTATTAAAAATTAGCTGGACGTAGTGGTGGGCACCCATAATCCCAGCTACTCAGGAGGCTAAGGCAGGAAACTTGCTTGAACCTGGGAGGCAGAGGTTGCAGTGAGTCAAGATTGCGCCACTGCACTCTAGCCCAGGTGACAGAGTGAGACTCCATTCAAAAATAGAAATTTTTCACATTTCTGGAATGTTTAGGTTAAAGCCTTGAAAACAAGAAATAAGAGGCTGAGGAGTCTAGAACTGAGCACAATAGTATGTTGTCAATTGCTTATATTTTTTTACCATAGCATTGACCCCTTCTGCATTCATAAGGTGTGGGGTCTGGGGTGATCCTCTAAGCACCTCAAGTTGATTTTCTCCAGTCTTAAGCAGTTTTGCCTATTACCTCAATATGCTGAACAAAAGGCGTTTCCTCTATGGTCTGTGAGGTGAAAAAAAATCTTAAAAATTGTTGAACTAGAGAAATAGAAAAACTAGAAAAATAGAGAATGACTAATAGTGCCAAATTGTATTGAAGATATAGTTATATGTCATTTGTGACCTTGAAGAGGACAATATCAGTTGAATGATACATGTGAAAGTTACATATTGAAAGCTACATATCCAATAGCTTGAAGTAAGAATTTGGATACAGTGAATTTACACATATTAGTTAGGATTAAGAGGACTGACTATAAGTAAGTATAGATTAGGAGGACTGACTATAAGTAAGTAAACACTTTAAAAAAAAAAAAAAAGAAGGCATGTTGCATGTTTTAAATAAAATTGAAGGATTTATTTCTCTCCCAGATTATGATATTGGAGATATTCCAAGATGGTAGGATGCCGGGTTATTGGAAATTCAGTTTTCTATCTTGTTGTTCCACCATCTAATATTTCCATTGCCAAAGTCAAATCATTGTACACAATAGCTATTGGAACTCCAATCATTTTTTCCACATTCCACCAGAAGGAAGGAAGGAGGGACCAGCAAAGAAATTACTGTCTCAGTGGAAAGATATTACCAAGGGGTTGCACACACCATTTCCACTATATCCCATTGTCAAGAATGTGTGTTTTATTTTTGGTGGCTCAGATCTCTATTAAGGAAGAAAATAATGAATACCAGGTGACAACTCTGCCATGGCAGGTTTTTTTTTTTTTTAAGAAGCTTTATTGTGAAAGAGAAATGAAAACTGTGCAAACAGCTGGATGAAAAGTGGAGAATAAAGAGAAACTACTTCTTTTTGAAGACTAAAGAGAGATGAGCATGTTTAAATGTTAAGATTGATCCATTAGCGTAAAAGTTAGAAATATAGAAATTGAACACATTTGGAACTCTTTGCTTAGGTATTTGGAAATGAGGGAAAAATACATGCTTTTAAATGTGGTAAACTTGTAGTTACTTTAACAGGAAGTTGAGTCATCATTCATATCATACTAGGAGTTAAAATCATGAGCTGAGATTGATGGCAAGAATGTCAGGTTAAAGAATGTTTATATTCCCCGAGAAAAAGGTGTCTTTTTGTACAATTCTACCTAAATCTTTTGACTTAGGTGACAAAGAAAATTTTAAACAAGAATAAATGTAGAAAGAGTAGTATAATGAAACAATATTTACCCAATATCCTGCTTCAGCAGTTATCAACTCATGGCCTAGTCTAGGCAACAAACGTCAGATCCTATCTCTACTAAAACAAACAAACAAAAAATTAGCCAGATGTGGTAGCACACGCCTGTAGTCCCAGCTACTCAGGAGGCTGAGTGAGAGGATTGCATGAACACTGGAGTTCAAGGCTGCAGTGACCCATAATCATGCCATTGCACTCCAGCATGGGCAGTAGAGACCCTGTCTTAAAACAAAACAAAACAAAAGACTCAAAGGCCTGTCTTGTTTCATGTGTACTCACACCAATTTCACCCATTTCTCTCACCTCTTGCATTATTTTTAGGTAAATTTCAGACATTACGTAGTTTAGTTTTTACCTCTATAATTTAAGAAATAGTTTCCTTTTCTTTTCTTTTTTTTTCTTGAGTTTCACTGTGTCACCGAGGCTGGAATCCAATGGCACCATCTCAGATCACTGCAACCTCTGACTCCCGGGATCAAGTGATTCTCCTCCCTCAGCTTCTCAAATAGGTGGGATTACAGGCATGTGCCACCATGCCTGCCTAATTTTGGTACTTTTAGTAGAAACGAGGTTTTGCCATGTTGA